CTTGGGCAGCTAGGTAGCACAGTAGATAGAGCTCCAGGCCTGAAGTCAGGAAGCCTTGAATTCCAAACTGACCTCAGACACTAGCTATGTGACCCCTGGGCAAGTCACTTAACTTTGTTTAGCTAAATTTCCTCATTCCTGAAATGAGCTAGAGGAGGAAATAGCAATCCATTCCTATATCTTTCCCAAGAAAACCCCAGATGGAGTCATGAAGAGTTGGACATGATTGAAATGACCGAACAGCAACAAAGTTATTACTTACAATTATTATTTATAGTTGCTTACAATGTGGACTGCTAGGTGGCGCCATAGTGCACAGAGTGCTAGGCCTGGAGTTAGGAAGACTCATCTTAATGAGTTCAAATCTGGCCTCAGACACTTACTAGCTGTGTGGCCCAGGGCTGGTCACTTAACTCTGCTTGCCTCAGTTTCCTAATCTGTAAAATGAACTGGAGAAAGAAATAGCAAACCACTCCAGTATCTTTGCCAAAAAAACCCCAAATGGGGTCACAAAGAGTTAGACATAATTGGAACAACTTAACAGCAACACTTACAATGTAAATAATGATGAATGTGAAGAATTCAGAGAAGCATGAGAAAATTTATGTGCAATATGAAATAAATAGACTCAGGAAAACAGTATATACAGTAATTATAATAACGTAAATGAAAATAACGAAAGACCCTACCCCACAGAAACAAAAATGAAGTCTATGTAATCACAATGACCAAGATTGATTCTGGGAAAGAATTAAGAAAATGGACCACTGTCACTTCTTTGCAGAGGTGGGGGACTACAGATGTGGAATATTGTATAATCTCTCAGACATTGTGGATGTGTTGGTTGGTTTTACTGAATTGCTTTTTTCCTCTTTTTTATGGCTTGCTGGGTAGAGGAGAGACAAGGTATATAGTCAGAAATAAAGGATATGTAAAAATAAAACATCAGTAGGTTTTTTTTTAAATTGAAAGGGAAAGGAGAAAGGGAGGAGAAAGAGATTTTGTGTGAGTGTGAGCAAATATACTGTGTAAAAGAAATGGACTAGGAGGTTGTATACCAATGAGATGGGTGAGATGTGCAAGAGATGAAGGTAAATGTGTAAGATATGGTACATATTTTGGGGCAGCCAGGTGGTGCAGGGGATAGAACTCAAAGGCTTGGAGTCAGGAAGACCTGAGTTCAAATCCGGCCTCAGGCATTAGCTGTATGACCCTGGGCAAGCGACTTAATCCTGTTTGCCTCAGTTTCCTCATCTGTAAAATGAGCTGGAGAAGAAATGGCAAACTACTTTCATATCTCTAGCGAGAAAACCCCAAATAGGGTCACAAAGGATCAGACACAACTGAAAACAACTAAACAAACATAGCAACAAATGGCATATATTTAAGACAAAGTGCTAAAAACCCAAAAAACAAAGATGTCAGAAATGAAGGAAAACAAACATAAAACTCCAAAGGCCAATAAAGCACATTCCATTCTCACTAAGCATTGCTGTCTCCAGACCACTGGTGCTGGGGGTAAGCAAGGTACACAGAATCTCTAGTTCTAGCAGTAATACAGCAAGTAAGATGTTATTTGGTTTTTAAAGTTGGGTTGTTGGCCATGAAATAAAATATAAATATGGCATATTTTGTGGCTTTTGCATTTTCTAAAGATGTTATCATCCATAAGTTTCCATAAAATGACCTGTATTACATATACCTTACAGGAAATTGCCTAGTATGTGTTTTATGCCAATGAATACTTTAGGTATGCAGATGAACATGAGCTAGGAGCAGAATGATTAAGACCGATTGGCACCTGGTCCAACAATATGATCCATCAGGGAGATGTTGCAGGTGAAAAGGGAAAAACAAAGTGGTAAAGGAAAAAAGGGAATGAAGGGGGGAAAAAGCGTTTTATAGAGCATGGAGACAGTATGGTATAGTGGGAAGAATACTGAATAAGATCACAGGTCCAGGCAATGATATTACTGCCTATGTGACCTTAGGTAAGTTGCTGTATTCCTTATGGGTCTTAGTTTTCCTCATCTATAAAATAAAGGGATTGGTATGCTGGTAAATATTTAACAACCAGTTTGCCCCCTCCCCCAAATGTTGAACTCACTTTTAAGTTCAACCTGTATTGTTAACGTTTTCTCCATCACTTCCTTAAGTCTAGAAAAAAATAATAAATCAAGCCCTAATTTGTAGGGGTTGCTCATTTCTGAGGTGTAAATGCTCACATTGATCATTTAACAATTTACTCTTGATAGTCTGAGCTGGTTCCAGCTCAATTGGACTAAATTATCTCTAAGGTCCCTTCCAGTTTGAGATCCTAAGATACAATAACTAGAGTTCTGCTGCTTAAAAACTCAAGAAAACTGGAATTAAATAGCTCAGAATTGGAAAGGACTATAAACTGACCGGGAATCACTTGTATGATAGCCCCCAATAAATGGCCATCCAGCCGCTGTTTGAAGACCTCCCACAATGGGGAGCACATTGCTTCTTGAGGCAACCCATTCCACAATTTGATCAGTCTCAATAGGTTTTTGCTAAGTTCTTTGCCTTGATATTTCCACATGCCATGCTTCCAGAACAAAATTATTTATTATAATTGAGCAGAGTTCATCCACCCTTAATGCTTATGTTATTGTAGTTCTGTATATTGATTTCTTGCTTCTCTTTTCTTTACTCTGCATCACTTCATACAAGTCCTTTCAGGTTTCTCTGGATTCCTCATGTTTGCCATTTCTTATAATGTAATAACATTCTATATTAATCACATTCCACGATTTGTTCAGTCATTCCCCAATCAATGACACTTACTTGATTTCCATTTTTTTTTTTGCTACAATGAAGAGTAGTGCTATAAGTATTTTCTTATATCTGAGACCTTTGTTTCTTTCTTTGGCCTCCTTGGGTTAAATGCTTCTATCTATCTATCTATCTATCTAGCTAGCTAGCTAGCTAGCTATCCCTATTATCTCCCTGAACTTCAGTCCCACACCCCAATTGCCTATTGGATGTTTCAAGCTTGATGTCCTGAAGACATCTTAATTCAATGTGTTCAAAATGCAACTTATCTTTCCCCCCAAAACATGTCCCTTCTTCCAAACTTCTCTAGTTCTGTTGGAAATGCTACCCATCTTTCCAGTCTCTCAGGGTCTCAATCTTGGCACTGTTCTGGACTCCTCACTCTCTTTTACCCCATATGGCAGCTGCCAAGTCTTGTTGCTCTCATGACATTTCTTTTTTTCTTTTTGAATGTACTTTTTCTTTACTTTCGCCATCTTCCCCAGATCCTTCCCTGTCTGTGTTTTCTCTCACAGCATGACCCACACGGAAATATGCTCTGCATGACCCCACATGCAAAACCTATGTCAAATGGCTCACCCTTCCAATAGGGGGAAGGAGAGGAGGGAGGGAGAGAACCTGGAACTCAAAACCTGAAAAAAGAATGTCAAAATTGTCTCCACACACAACTGGGGAAAAACAAAACACCAAATCAAAAACAAACAAAACAAGAGTTAGAAGAATTTTTTTGGGTCATTTCTACCTTTGCAACTTCTCTTGATTTTACCCTCTCTTTCCCATTCACACAGTCACCACCCTAGTATAGGCCTTCATCATCTTTTGCCTCAGTTATTGCAATAGCCTTCTAATTGGTCCCCCTGTTTCAGGTCTCTCCTATCTTCAGTTCAGCCACCACTTAACTGTCAAACTGAGTTTCCTAAGGTGCAGGTCTATCTATCAATAAACTCAAATGGCTCTTCTTTATATCTAGAATCAAATGTAAAAATCCTTAGTTTGGCATTTAAAGCACTTCGCAGCCTGGACTTTTCCTACCTTTCTAGTCTTCTTATATTTTACTCTCTTTCACTTCTTATATTTTACACTCTTTCACATTTCAAAAAAGCCTGCTGGCTTACTTGATGCTCTCCTATTTGACATTCCATCTCCTGACTGTGTTTTGCACTGTCTGTCCCCCATGTTTGGAGTTTTTTCTTCCTAGTTTCCCTGACTTGTTTCAAGACTCAATTCAAATTACACCTTTTGCAAGAGGCCTTTCCTGCATTACTAGTGCCTTCTTTCTGATATTAACTCATTTACACTTGGCAGGATTTTATTTTTTTTTTATGTGTGAAGCTCCAGAATATGGGTAGTTTTAATTTATTTTTTCCATTTTTTAAACATTTTTGTTTAAAGTTTTGAGCTCCAAATTCTATCCCTTTCTCCCTCATCCCTGAGATGGCAAGCAATCAGACATAGGTTATACATGTCCCAAAGCATTTCTTGCAGTTAACCCCTTTTCTTCACTCACACTTCAAACCCTGATCATCTCTTACCTAGATTATTACAAAAGCCTCTGACCATGTGACTCCCCTACTCACTCATTCCAATGGCTTCCTGTTGCCTCTAGAACATAAACTCCTTTGTTTAGGTTTTAAAGAACTTTACAACCTGGCTTCAAACTCTGTTTTTTAGCCTCACTGGACATTAGTCCTCCTACACTCTTCAATCCAGTCAAACTGGCCTTTTTTCTGTTCTTCACACATGACGTGCCGTTTCTTGTCTGTGTCCAAACGCATCTTTTCCTCCCTCTTTTACCTAGTGAGCTATATTTTGTAGCAAAGAACAAAATAGAATTCAGCAAAATTGGCCAACATATCGATCAAATCTGACAGTAAATGTGACAATCCACACCCCTAGTTTTTACCCTTTGCAAAGAAGGAAGAGAGGTGAATTTTCTCAGCTTTTCTCTGGGGCCAAGCTTGGTCACTATAATTATGCAGCATTCAGTTTCATTTTTCCATTCTTTCCATTTACGTTGTTGTATTTATGACTTTTTTCTAAAACAACATTTAATCTGCTCTGAAAATTTTATGATGGCTTTTGGCCAAAAGCAGTAAGATTCTAACTCTCATACTCATTATGCTTAGTACAGTGCTTGGCACATAGTAAGTACTTAATCTATGCTTGTTGCCTGCCATTTAATTTTCCACTTTCTTATCTAGAGGAGCAAGGGAAATCAAGGCTTCCACCAGACTTTGAAAGCTGTCTGTCTGAAAGATGGTATCTACGCCTCAAGGACACTTGCCAGAATAGACCTGAATGAAGCCATCACTCAGCCTATTTATGACAGAGCGGACCCTGTTTTTGGAAACATTTTCAGGTAAGCGCACCATCTCCTTCCTTTGCTTCCTTTTAGAAAGCTAAGTTACTAGGCACATTGGAGCAGAAACATCTCTAGGAACTTTTAGTTTGGGCCAAGTCTTGGAGTATGTTTTTTGGAACTCAGAGGCTTCGGTACAATTAAAGGTTGGCCAAGATCAAGTCAAGGCTGTTGAGTTGACCATGTCTCCTCAATGATTTTGTTTATTAAATAATTTCTTACAGTGAACTAGGGTATAGGCTAAGATGTCACATGGATCTGGAAGTTGTCCTTATCATTATAGCTATCTTGTAAGAACAGTAAGGGAATTAGTTTTTCTTTGGGACCTGAACCTAAAAGAAGGTGTTTCAGTTGGAGGAAGTGGAGTTAAGGAAAACTCATGGGTGTTTTTAACCAAACTAAAAGTTAAGAATGAAAGCGGGCTTCGGTTCTGTGTATGCACAGCTCACTGTCTTATGAAGAATGAAATGAACTTCTTAGCAGAACTTCAGGAGAAATATTCTATTTGTATAAACCATTATCCTACGCAGAAGTGAAAATGATACAGAAGTGTGCTGGCAAATGTTTAACAACCAGCTCTCCAAAAATGTAGGACACACTTTTAAATTTAATCTGCACTATTAGCATTTTTTCCCATTAAGTTCCTAAGTCTAGATAATCGACAAAACAATAAATCAAGCCCTGATTTGTAGTGAGACTCTGAGGTTTAAATGTTCACATTGAATATTTAACAACCACCTCTCACCAGCCAGTTTGAGCTGGCTTCAGCATTCTCCTGCATGGCTGGCTCATAGTCAGCAAAGAATGTGATTTGATTAATTTTTCCACCCCCATTTGCTCTATAAATCATTTAGTCAACAAGCAAAAATTAAGTACCACCAGGTGAGCACTTGTGATTATGTGAACAAACTAGCTAGGCTTTCATGGACAGCTGAGAAACGACAGAAATGCCATGTGATTCAGTCAGTTGAGTTTTCCTATAAAATTATAGGCAAATTTATCAAATCATGTTGCTATATTATCAGATTACCTTTTAAAAATTGATTACTATCAATATGTAAGTCTATTTACTGTATATAAAAATATACATAATATACATAAATAATACATGTAAACAATATATGTATAAACACAACATAGAGTAAGATTCCAGGAAATGGAAACATCTAAGTACAACAAGACACAATTTTTTATCTACTTCAACCATTTTCAATTACTGTTTATCTTAACTCTGTTTTTCTTTACCAAGGCTAAGCAGATTCCCATTCAAAAGAATTCTTTGTAATTAGAAATCTTCTTGCAGATATGCATTATTTCCACCTCTTTAAGATGGGTGGCATCAACAAACATTTATTAAATACCAACAGAACACTGGAAATGGTATGAAATTTAGATAAGACGTGACAGTGTTTACCCTCATGATGCTTACAGTCTGGTAGAGAAGACCACAACAAAAAAACACAGATAATTATAATGGAGAATTATGACTGATAAATGCAACAGAGATTTGCAAAACAAAGTGCTATGTGAGGTCTGAGGAGGAAGCTCATTCCCTACTAAGGGTGTATAGACCTAGGTTCCAGCCAGAAGCTGTCCCAGCTTCCAGATCATAGATCATAGATTTAGAGTTGGGAGGGACATAAGACATCATTGGATTCACCTTCTCTCGTCTTATAGACAAGGAAACAGGCCCAGAGAGCTTGGGCAATGTGCCTAGGGTAACACAGCTAATAACCAACTGTCTGAGGTGAGTTTGAACCCAGGACCTAAATAGCCTCTATCCCCCAGCTCTGGGAACATGCTTGGTCTTTGACATCCCACCTCCATGGAGAAAACACTTGAATTAGGCTGAGTTTAAGCCAAATCCACTTCATGGAACTCCTGTGTTTAGAAATACTATGTATTTTGGATACTATGTATCCTCCCCGACAAGAGTAGATTCCTCATCTCTAATGGAAAGCCTGGGCTATGTAGAACTAAGTCCTGGTAGTGGGTGTCTTGGGGGCATTTCTGGGCTGCGTAACTGTGTGGGGCAGCCACGACTATTTAGAGTTGCTGTTAACTTTTCCATGGTGTAGTGGAGAGAGTGCTAGACTTGGAATCAGGAAAACCTGAGTTCAAATCTTGCCTTCTATATTTATTAGTTATGGGATCCTGGGCAAGTCACTTAGTCTCTGTCAGCCTCAGTTTCTTCATCTGTAAAATGGGGATAATAATAACAACTAATATGGGGATTAAAATTGTCCAACCTACAATAAAAGAGACTGAGGCAGAGCTCTGAGCCAATGTCACTTTATTAAAGGGTCCCTGGTCCCCTCTAATGAAGTGGACCTCAGATCTTCCTCATGATCTGAGATGCCTCCTTCTTCTAGGACCTTATTTTTGTAAGGCTTGATACCTCAACATGCTAAAGAGGCTATACAAAGTACAGAATTCCATTCGTTGATAGATCTTGCTTCGCAGGCCAGAAAATAATTCATCACCTAGAAATGATATGTCAGTAGCTGGGGTGGGGACAGAGGGGAAGGAGGGGTGTCTCGTGTTGGGCGAAATGTAGAGCGGCTCTACTAACTAAATGGTCATAAGATGCTCACAAGATGGTCACCTGCTCATGTTGGGCAAGAGAGAATGGTCCAGAGGTGCAAAAATAAATTGGAGAACTTTCCATGTAATCATGTCACGTCTGCCACACTGGGCTTGGTCACCATAATGAGTTAAAACAAGGGTGGAGGGCCTCTAGTTAGCTTCCTGTGATTAAACAAGTGAACTTACAATCTGCAGCTCACATTCTGGGGCCTAATGTAGAGAACTTATAATCACTGTCCCTATGGAATCATATCAAACTGATTAATGCTGACTGCAACGGAGTAGGGGTCCAAATGAATTCTTTCTCACACTACCTCACAGGATTGTTGTGAGGATCAAATGAAAAAACTTGTAAAGCACTTTGTAAGTCTTAAAGGGCTATATAAATTCTAGCTATTATTATCTTCAAAGATCCCTCAATGGTGGCAAATCAATGATGAGTATGTTCAATGGTTACTGTTGAATGGTATGGTATCATATGAATGTTTCCGTATGAGTATGCCAGACCACAGGAATCCTTTAAACCCAGTACCAAGACAATGAGGATCATTCCTGGAGGAGGTGACATTTGAGTTGGACTTTAAAAAGTGGAGAGGGGGAGGAGGGCATTCTAGGTGTAGAGTAACAGTACAAATAAAGGCACAAAAGCAGGAGGGTGCAGTCTTTGAGTTATTTTGTTATAGTATTTATAGTATGGGAGCAGCTAGGTGGTGCAGTGGATAAAGCACTGGGCATGAAGTCAGGAAGACCTGAGTTCAACTCCCACCTTAGACACTTACTAGCTGTGGGACCCTGGGCAAATCACTTAACTCTGCCTCAGTTTCCTCATTTGCAAAATGAGCTGGAGAAGGAAATGGCAAACCACTCCAGTATCTTTGCCCCAAAAAACCCAAATAGGGACATGACTAAAGAGTTGGACACATCTGAAATGGCTGAACAACAAATTTATTGTGCATTATAGTATGAGGAATTATAGCATAATAGTTAAGCTATATTATATAATTATAGTGTAATAGTCATTATAGTATAAGGAATAATAGTATAGGAAGGAGGAAGTAGTATTGTCCAGGTCATACTTGTTGGTTTTGCTGGTTATTGCCAATGGGCAAACCATATTTATTATACCACGTCTGTTCTCAGGTCCACACATTGTGGACCACGCATTTCTCTCTTAACATCTGACTTGGCACCCCTCTGTAGGACTGGGAAGGACACCGGTTCTGCACTGATCCTTCACATAGACACTTTCAAGCACTCTCTCCAGGAGAAAATGACAGAAGTGGTGATAAAAAGAGGGTGGCAATCTGACAGCTGCAAGCATAATTTTCTGATCCAGGAGGTGAGAGCAAAGTTCACTCTTGTTGGCTTATGATTCCTTGTTGCCCAGCAAGCTCTGTAGATTGGCCTTCTAATCTGAGGTTTTACTCCCTTGGAGTTGGCCAGTGTCTCAAAGGAAGGGAGAAGAGAAATTAATGAAATATTAAACTGATGAAATACTAGGTGATACAGTGGATAGAGCATGCCAAGTCTGGAGTCAGGAAGACTCATCTTCCTGAGTTCAAATCTGGCCTCAGATACTTAGCAATTGTGTGACCCTGAGCAAGTCACTTAACCCTATTTGCCTCAGTTTCCTCATCTTGTAAAATGAACTGGAGAAGGAAATGGGAAACCACTCCAGTACCTTTGCCAAGAAAACCCCAAATGGGGTCATAAATGACTGAAACAACAGAATAACAATGAAACTCTTCACAGGTTGAAGGAAGTAACCAGCCCTAAGATTGCATCTGAACTATAAACCAAAACTGAACCTTATCCCAATATGAGATTAGCTGGCAGTAAATGCTGCCTCTATAAATCAGAGACAGGTTACACTTTGTAGAATGGTTCACAGAGTTACTTGACCCACAGAAATATTCATTGACATGTAACATTTTCAACCACTGTTCTTACATTTTTGAGAGATTGCTGTGGTTTAGAAGAAAGAACCCCAGCCTGGGCACCAAGAGGTCTGGTGGATCGCCACTAAATAGTTGTAAGGACCTTCTAAGTTATGCCACCTTTCCAAGGCCTTATTTCCTCATCTATGAAATGAGGAGGTTGGATTGGATGACATTTGAAGTCCCTTCCTGGATGGTAAGCTAATATGTTGTAGAGGATCAGATAAAAAAAACATCATAGGGGCATCAGATCACAGACCTAGAGCTGGTAGGAACCTCGGAGTCCATCAATCCAACCCCTTCACCTTACAGATGAGGAAACTGGGGAACTGATGCTGTTAGCCTCAAAAAGAGAAAGCTGAAGGGGGACACAGTAGTTTTCTTCAAATATTTCATGGAATGATAGATTTAGAACTACGTAGGACCTCTTAGGCCATCTGGTCCATCCCCCTCCTTTTACCAATGAGGAGGAATATGAACCCCAGGGAAGTGAAGGGATTTGCTCAAGTTACCAAGACTGTAAATGGCAGAGGCAGGGTTTGAACCTAGGTACTGTTGATGGGGTGCTTTGTGCTTGGGCCTCAGCCCTAAGACCATGTCTCTGAAAACAGCTCAGTTTCTTGTGAGAAAATCTTTTTTTGTTGCAAGCACGTGAAAGCCTGACCCTGGAATTCCTTTGATAAAAGCTATCTCAGGGGTGCCAGGCCCAAGGACCATGCTCTGGCAATCCTATTTTGTCTGGTATCAACAGAGCTATCTTTGTTGCCTCCCTGAATTTTCCCATCCACAGATCACTGGCACTTTCTTTCAAGGAACTTGAACCCCTTGCATATTCCTCTGAAGTCCCTAGATTACCTAATTATCATCCTTGACATTCTTTCCCTGTCCCTTTTCCATATAAGCCCTAATAGCATCGTTACTAGTTTGCACGTTCCCTAAGAACCCTTGCCTGCTTTGTTAAGAGTTACAATAAACTTTGCCACTTGGCTAAGATATAACTTGAGTGTGTGAATTCGTTCCAGGCAACTCCACCTTGTATCCTGACATATTGGGGGTCCCAGAACCCCTAAGCCATGTCAGCACTCCTAAACCACATCACTGTGATTCCAAATTCTGTGCTCTTTCCACCTACCATTGTGTGTAAGAAGAATAAGAATTATTCCTCTTCATCCCAGAGAGTAGAAATTGATTACAAGAAAGCAGATGTTAGGTCAAGCTAAGGAAGAATTTCCTTATAATTAGGGCTGCCTAAAAAAATAAAAAAAATGGGGTGGCTAGATGGCACAGTGGATAAAAGTGGAATCAGGAAGACTCATCTTCCTAAGCTTGAATCTAGTCTCAGACATTTACTAGCTGTGTGACCCTGGGCAAGTCACTTAACCCTGTTTGCCTCGGTTTTCTCATCTGTAAAATGAGTTGGAGAAAGAAATGGCAAACTACTCCAGTATCTTTGCCAAGAAAACCCCAAATGGGGTCATGAAGAGTCAAACACAACTGAAAAACGACTAAACAACAAGAAACAACAAAAATAAGCTACTGAGGAAAATGGTGGATTGGATGACAATTCATTGGAAATGTTGTAGATCAGTGGTCAATCAATATTTATTAAGTGCCTACTATGTGCCAGTAAGTGCCAGGGATGCAAAAAGAGGCAAAAGACAAGACAGTCTCTGCCCCCAAGGAGTTTATAATCTAATGGGGAAGATAACATGCAAACAGATAATACAAGGCAAGCTATATATAGGATAAATAGGAAATAATTAATAGAGAGAAGGTAGTAGAATTAAAAGGGGTTGGGGAAGATTTTCAATAAAAGGATTTTAGTTGGCACTTCAAGGAAGCCAGGAGGTCAGTGGTCAGAGTGGAGGACAGCTAGAGAAAATGCCTGGGGTCAAGAGATACAAGTGTCTTATTCATGGAACAGCCAGGAGGCCGATGTCACTGGATCAAAGAGTACATGTCAGGGAGAAGGTATAAAAGACTAGAAAGGTAGGAGCAAGATAATTTATGAAGGGCTTTGAATGCCAAACAGAGCATTTGTTATTTAATCCTGAAGGCAATAAGAAGTCACTGGAGATTACTGAGTAGGGGATGTCATACTTGGACCTGGGATTTAGGAAACCACGTTAGTGGCCAAATGGAGTGGGGAAAGACTGGAGGCAGGCAGGTCAGAGGGTGTGATCCAGAGGAGGAGCCAGCAAAGGAGACAGAGGAGTGGTCAGATTGGTGCGAGGAGACCCAGGAGACGGAGGTGCCCTGAAAACCTACATGAAAGAGAGATTGATCCTTGTGTGTGGATTAGTGACCTCTGTTTCTATTTGACTTTGACAACACTGTTCTAGCGGTTGATTAGAAGACATCTAAAGTTGCTTTTAGTTTTGGGATTCTGATTCTGTGATTCTGGCTCTAAGATTCGGGATGGGCCATATAGTTAATAGTTAAAGAGGACACCAGGCTTTGTATGGGCAGCTGGGTGGCACAGTGGATAGAGCACTGGGCCTGGAGTCAGGCCGGAGTTCAAATATAAGCTCAGACACTTACTAGCTGTACGACCCAGGGCAAGTCACTTAACTCCTGCCTGCATATAACTGGAGAAGGAAATGACAACTCACTCCTATATCTTTGCCAAGAAAACCCCATGGACAGTTGATCCCCAGGGTCACAAAGAGTTGAACACACCTGAACAACAGCTTTGTATTCTTCTTCTGAGCCTGGGCTGTTTCATATATTCTAATTTGGAATTTGGTGGGTCACCTTTGGTCCAGCTTTGCAAAGCTTAAGCTTTTTTAGTCATTCTTTTCCCCCAAAGGCAGAACTTGCCAGGCATCAGAGCTGAGCTGTTGGTCAAATCTGGCTTTACTTTCTTTTAGGCTCAGCCCCATTTATTCTAAGCCTGGGCTAAATAATTAAACAGAAAAAGGAAAGAAACAGAAGGTGCTGTTTATACCTATTTTTAAAAAAAGGTTCCTCTTTCTTCATTTCTGTCCTCCTCTCTCCCTTCCTCCCTTAAGGCTGCACAAGTTTAAAAAGGTCAATTTTTTTTGGCAAGGCAAATGGGGGTAAGTGACTTGCCCGGGGTCACACAGCTAATGTCAAGTGTCTGTTCTGAGACTGGATTTGAACTCAGGTCTTCCTGACTCCAGGGCTCTATCCACTGTGCCACCTTGCTGCCCCTAAAAAGGTCAATTTTGAATGGACCTCTCATGATGCTTGTGTTTTAGAGGAGCAGTGATGGCTTTGACTCTGTGGTGTGTTCCTTATAGTCTGTGTGATGCTTGCCAAGTCCCTTTACTACTCTGGGCATCAGTTTCCTCATCTCTTGAAATGAGGGTGTTAAGCTAGTTGACCTCTGATGACCCTTCCACATCTTGACTCTTCTAGCACATGGTTGAATGAATGATTTATTCATGTTTTCTGAACATAAATTCTCATAGATAAATGCTATTTTGGGAGGCCTGGAAGGACACATCCTCAGAAAAAAGAAGAGGATCTATGAGTCTCTCTGCAACTCTGTTCAGAATGATCTGAAGCCGTATTATGAAGGTATAAGTTTGTGGAGGCCCCGAGTTCACTTTGTGCTTTTTTTCATTAATTCCTCCAAGACTGTGTCCTATCTTCTTCCCAGATCACCATGACAGCTTATTTCACAAATAAAAACCAGATAGTAAGAGAAAAAGTTACCAGATGAGCCATCTATCTTGTCTTTTGGCACCATCTAATTGCCTTTCTGGTTTTAAGAAGATTTATCACTAGAACTGTAACTAGGATAGGGCAACGAAAGCTTTTCCCCAGGTTGCTTGAATTTAGAGGGCACTGAAAGCACCTTCAGTCCTTCAGCAGGATAGGAATGACAGAATATAGTACCTAGCTTTCAAGAGCAACTTGAATAGGAAGCTAACAGACGGCAGTCTGGGGTTCTCCTAACCATTCCCTTTCTTCCTATGGTCCTTTCCCACAGATGAGCCTGTGCTTCATGCTGCTTGTCTTGAGTGTGGTGGTTTGTGATACTTGCCTTGAGTGCAAAAATTCCTAGTGATGCTCTACTTATACCGTGATACCTTGCTTTGCTGATATGATGCATGCCTTTCCTACAGCTTTATGCTTTAGTCATTTAAAACACAGAGAATTTAAATGTGAGCAGCTGGTTATTCACAGCTGAGAAGTAATGCCCAGCAAATGTAGCAGCGGAAGGGGGATGAGCGTTTTTCATACACATGCCCTCTATGTTTAGTAGTAGCTGAAATTGGTTCTCCCTGATTACTCTCTTCTCCATACTCAAGGGACTGGCTCAAGGCATGATCTTCTGTCTCTCTCTTTTAAAAATTTATTTTATTTTTAATTTATGAAATAAAACAAACATTTCTACAACATTAGTAGAAAAATAAAAAGATGATTGCATATGGAACTACAACTCTATTATGTACAACTTGCTATTCCTTTTAAATATATAATAAGTTTATCATGTAAATTTCTTTTTTTCTCTTTTTTTTTCATCCCTCCCTCCCCATATTCTCTTGATGTGTCCACCTTTACTTTCCATTTCCTTTCTCACCTAAGAGCAGGGCAGGAAAGGTAGAGAAAACCCTAAAGTCTCTAGTGTAGAGTTACCTGTTAGCTTAGAGGAAATGATTTTAGTTTGTGAGGATTTTAATCTAAGGCTAGGGACCCAGTTCCTTGTAGTTTCTCTTCTCTGCAAAGTTAGAAAGCTTGAAAGTAGATATTAACAAAATTCGTAAGACTCTGAGCCCCCAGTTGATTCTTTTCATCCCCAGGCTGGAAGGATTTCCTAGGCAGTTGAATTTGGTGTAATCAATTATCCACAGGTTTCCATCTCTCTCTCTCTCTCTCTCTCTCTCTCTCTCTCTCTCTCTCTCTCTCTCTCTCTCTTTCATTGTAACAAGTACACCGAGGGCACACTTAAAATGATCTTATTTTCTAGAAAGTCATTATTAAAAAAAAACAAACTGGTAAGCAAAATATAAAATACCGGAGAAACACTTAGTAATAAACCATGCTGCCTATTTCATGTCTAAATAAAACAGAAATGAGGTACAAAGAGTGCAGTAAATTCACAATTATTCTAGTGGTTTCTTAAGCAGGCATAATTGTCACTTCCTGCTCAACCATATGGCTAGTCAGATCAAATTCAAATAGAAAAAAGGGGCACATAAGGACTGTTGGGGGCATCATATTGACTTAGAAAACTACATATTAGCATTATCTATATTCTATTGTATTTTCTTTTATTTTGTAAATATTTCCTGATTGCATTTTAATCTGGCTCTGGCTGCACTAAGGGATAGTGCAAGACACAGTGTGCCCTGTAAACTTTATGTTTGAGGCTTCTGGCTCTGTTCTCAGATGCTGCTGCCACTGTTGTCCCTCACTCTCTCCAACTTTCCTCTTCCCTCTCCTGAGGGATTTAAAAATTGCTGCTATAATAGAAAGCTCTGTTCCCCAGTTCTGATCTTGTGATAACACACAAGTCTCTTCCTGATCTGGAAAGAAATATAACCCCCAAGGTCTTTAGTGACCTAGGTCCATTCACAAAGCAGCCAGTCTTAAGTCTTGCCAGAATGACTGTTATAAAGGTTTAAAAAAAAAAAAGGAAAGGAAAGCACTAGATGTGTCTTTCGTAATTATAAAAATGAAAATTTCACAGCCCTTCCTCACTATGACAGGACCGGATTGGGTGAGGTTAATCAACAAGTATTTATTAAACTTGTATTACATGTCAGACACTGTTAGGTGCTGGGGACCCTGATTAATCTAACTCTTGCTGTTAACAAAGATTCCCTTGGTGACTGTCATTGTATAAATAACAAAATTATAATTTATCCCCCTCTCCATTTTATAATCTATTTTCACTGTCATAGAAACAGTAATTTTTTTCTAGCACCAGAGAAAACCCATAAATATTTTTTTTTCAACTGAGATATAACTATGGTTATTGTTTTCACTAGAGGCAGCTCATATAACTGGCAAGAAAGCCTGTGAGCGAATGAAAGATGCCATCAGAAGAGGTGTGGACAGACAAGTGGCTGAGGGTTTATTTGAAAGGGCCCAAGAAAGGATGCAGAATCAATTCCAGCAATTGAAGGTATTCGACATCCTTCTCTTGATTTCTAACTCTAAGGAGGTGGCAGGGTGGTGTTGGGGTCTCAGGAGAAAGGCTGGAATGTTGGCCTGAACAGCTTCCAAAAGCAAATTTCCATGCTACCCAATGAACCATGGTGGCCAGCTTGTTTTCTGATCTCTTATTGCCAAAACCTGGTTTTGAGTGCTCTTGTGACAATAATTTTAGGCATATAGCTCCCCCACCCTACTTTCTTGTATCCTGGTCTCCTTAAATGATAACCCCAGCCACATGTCCTCAGGAGGAATAGAAGCTATTCTATGTACAATGATGACAAGCACTTGGGTGCAAGTTATTTGTGGGTTTGGCAAATAGATACACAGCATAGATATCATAGAGTCTAGCTTTGTCATTCAGCACACATTCTTTCAACATGCATTTATTGAGCACCTATTCTATACCAGACACTGTGCTAATTGCATATATGTGAATTCTAGCTTGTCCAACTTGCATTTATTCAACAGGCATTTATTAAGTGCCTACTCTGTGCTAGAGGGGCAACTAGGTGGTATGATAGAATAGAGTGTCAGGCCTAGGGTCAAAAAGACTCCTCTTCCTGAGTTCATATCTGGCCACAGATACTTACTAGCTGTGTGACTCTGGGCAAGTCATGTAGCCCTGTTTGCCTCTATTTCTGCAAAATGAGCTAAAGAAGGAAATGGCAAACCATTCCAGTATCTTTGCCAAGAAAACCCCAAATGGGGTCATGAAGAGTCAGACACAAGTGAAAAACAATTAAATAACAACAAAAACTGATAGGCACAGTGTTAATTGCTTGAGGTATAAAGACAAAAATAAAACTATTCCTGCCCTCTAGAAATTTATATTCTCTTGGCTTTAGGACACAATTCTTACCGATTTGTCTGGTTTAACACACTTGAGCAGCACCCTGAGCCTACCTAGTTTCTGTACAGACTTCCTTCAGCAACCTACACTTTTCATTTTCTTAGTCTAGGAAGTTCCCTTTACTTTACATTGAGACTTGAGGATCATGGACCATGACTTTTATAGCCATTATAGGGCTTACCAGGCACCAGTATGCACACTTGCCCATCATGTCTAGACAATGGGGTGGGCTCATCTGCACGGTTTCCCTTCCCTTTGAACAGGAATGTTCTAACAGAATGCTCCATGTCCCTTAGAATGGAATCATAGAAAAAGTGAAGGGAAGTGTGTCCACCATGCTGATCCTTGCTTCACCCAGGGGAGAAAGCCTCTACAAGGAGCTGTCAGGTAAAGACATGGCACTTTCTAAAAATGGGTCATACTCCCAGCCAGGGGTGTACTACTAAATGTTTAACAACTGGCCCTCCAGGGGGAAGAAGTATATAGAATATACATTTAAGTTTAATCTATATTTTCTCCATCAACAAAGCAATAAATCAAGCCCAGTTTCTTAGGTGTAAATGCTCACAATGGAATGAAAAGCTAGCTTTGGCACACCCCTGCCTGTCCCAGCACACCTAGCCCTGTAGTATGAATCCTAATCAGGATTCAAATGAAAGGTAGAAGATGAGATAATAGTGGCTGGCATTTAGATAGTACTTTAAGGTTTACAAACTCCTATATACCCATTCTCTCATCTGATCTGCATAACAAACCTGTAAGTGCTGTTATTTTAGAGATTTTAAAGATTTTATTTTAGAGATCAATTAACGAGCATTTATATTAAAGTGCCTATTATGTACCAGGGATACAAGTACAAATAATGAAATGATCCCTACTTACAATTATCCTACATTCTAATGGGAGTAGACACCAATTACGTATAAAAATACATGCAGCATAATTATAAAGTTTGTATATACATAAATAGATGCACACATAAAGTAATTAAATGCAGGATACTATGGGAGGGAGGGCGCAATTGGGGGGAATCAAGAAAGGTTTCATGCAGAAGATGGTGTTTTAGTTGCATCTTAAAGAGGGAAGCAGGAGGGACTGTATTTTAGTTATGGGGGGCTGAGGAAATTGCAGAGAAGTTACGTGACTTGTCCAGGGTCACATAGTTACTATCTGAGATGGGATTCAAATCAAAGTCTTCCTGACTCCAAGTCTAACACCGCTGTGTTTGACATAAAATACAAAATCCTTTAGGGCAGCTAGATGGTGCAGCGGGTAGAGATCCAGGCCTGGACTGAGGAAGACCTGAGGTGAAATTGGTCCTTAGACACTAACTAGCTGTGTCACCCTGGGCAAGTCACTTAACCTGGTTTGCCTCAGTTTCCTCATCTGTAAAATGATGGAGAAGGAAATGGCAAACCACTCCAGTATCTTTGCCTTGAAAAGCCGAAAGGGGTCATGAAGAGTCAGACATGACTGAAAACTACAAAACAAAATTCTCTGGCTTTTAAAGCTCTTCATAAGTATTGTTTGGGTGTGGATGTCTGGCAGTTTTGGGGTGCAGATTTCTGGGTGGGTCGGGTTTGCCCCAAGGAAGAGTTAGCAGCCTAAGCCTGGTATCCAGAATGATCTTAGTCATAAACTGAGTCTTAGTGTCAATCCCCATTGAATAATTCTTATATATGTAGATAATGATGACAAGCCTTGGCAGAGATGAGATCTGAATGGCACAATACTCATCCCACCTTTGCCTCTGTGTGGAAAAAGAGAACATGGGGGAGGGAAGGGAAGGGAGGGAGAAGGTGGGGCACAAAAAGGTTCCGAACAAGAAGGTCAAGATTGAGAGTGTCTCTGTGTGTGTGAATGGGTCTATGCTGTCTATGAAGTTGGTAGTACAAGAATTATTCTTTCATTTTGTAGATATATGACTTGCCCAGTATCACACAGGCAGTAACAAAGCTAGGATTCAAACCCAAATGACTCCACATGTTATGGTCTTTCTGTTATGCCATGCTGTCTCTCTTGTCATCAGTCGTTCAGTCAAGAAGCACCAATATGCACCAGGCACTCTGCTAGGCACTGGGGATACAAATACAAAAGTGAGACACTCCCTGCCCTCAGGGAGCTTACATTTTAAAAAAAATTTTTAAGCAATTGGGGTTAAGTGACTTGCCCAGGGTCACACAGCTAGTAAATGTCAAGTGTTTGGTCTGAGGCCAGATTTGAACTCACATCCTCCTGACTTCAGGGCCAGGGCTCTATCCACTATGCCACCTCGCTGCTCTGAGGAGCTTACATTTTATATACATTTTCTATTGTTCAGAGAAATAGAATGAAGTAAGTTCAAACTTGGTTCAGAAATTAACTAACTGCATTAATGTTACATTTAAGAGGTGGCAAGGAGAGAATTTCTCAGGCTGAGCCTTATGTCTGTCTTGATAGATGAGGTCACTTCAGATTCAAATTCTGGTCCTTAGTTTTGTGGGCTCTGCAACTTGACTTGATTAGTTCCCCTAGAGGCAAACAGGCACTTGGGGAACTGATTTATACTAGCTACACTCATTGGAGACAGATTTATTAAGTCAAAATCCCATCTTATCAACTATTTCTCAATGTAGATTAATTCAATCAAGTTGGAATACAGCTGTTATCTAGTCAATGCTTCCTCTTTCTAGTAGGAGAGATTTCCTGGGAAACCAAATGAAGTAGAAGGAGTTGAGATAAAGCCCAGAGAATTTGATATTTTAAGGGGGATAGATCCTTTAAAATATAACCTCCAAACCATAATCTGATGGATCCTTCTCCCCTGTAAAGTTATGCCAGCCATGCACATTTCATCAGGGCACTTTCTATCCTATGCCCTTGTTCTTATAGTAGAGAATCAGCGTGTGCAGAAGATTAGAGGGAGATGAACAAGTAAGAGAGTTAACAAGCCTGTCAAAATGGAGCAGGCATCGTCCCAAAACAATGACTGACAAAGAATCAAATGGACAATCAGTAGCACAGTCAAGGACAGAAATTCATATGCTGCCAGATGCAAGCCAATAGCAGGGAGCATATGGTCTGAGTTTAGGAGTAACGAATCCAAATCCAGACTTGGTAGGGATGGGAGTGGTTCATACAAAGCAGGGTTGGGAGAATAACATGTAGGGAGGAGTTTGGTACTTAATGTAAAAAAATCAACTGGGGCAGCCCGCTTTTAAGGTGCCGGGTGGAAGCCACATCCCCTTCCCACTCAGCTGGAGGAAATGGCACAATGTGACAGAACTACAGACTGATTCTTTCCTATTCAATTATTTTTCTTATCAGCATACAACAACAACCTAATACTTACATAGCACTTAATTTACTTCACCCCATTTGTGATGGAGTTCAGAGATGACCAGGTTGCTCTGGATTAAAACCCTTGCCCTAGGTCAGGGGCTCTTAAACTTTTTTTATATCATGAATTTCTTTGGCAGTCTCATGAAGCCTATGGGACCCTTCTAAGAATCATGTTTTTAAATGTATAAAATAGATAGGATTACTAAGGAAACTGAAGCTTAGTACATATTAAAATGCAATGTTGTTTTCCTCTTAGCTGAGTTCACGGACCTCTTAGGGGCTAACGTGCCCCATGCTAAGAACCTATGCCCTAGATGAAAACTCTAACTAGTGAATCTCTTTATCTCCAAACAGACAGGTAGCTCCCCACCAGAATTTTTGTCTTCTCTACTACCACTCCTAGGCATGGTGGGGGAGGGCTTGGATAATTGGTAGAGACCTCATGAGAAAGTCATGCTCTGAGCTGGCCCCAGTGGGTGGAGACACTTACGGTCAGGGAAAATCAATTCCGCCCACTTTCCCAAAGGGAGGGATGTGTATGTGTGTCAAAAATGTTGCCTATGGCTTCCAGTTCTTCCCCTGGCTTATTTAAGAGATGTCATGACAGCAATATTGGTTAGAAATAAGAGTATGAGAAATTGATGCCTGGAGCAAAAGAACCATAATTATGATGAGGTAGTTTGTGAGTTGGTACAGTGTGAAAGGAATCATTTGGGAGAAATGAATCTATGTATGTGGGAGAAACTGAGAGTGTCCAGGAAACTCAGAGCTCCATTCCATCTCCACTAGTAGGATTCTTTTCATTATCTTTTTCATCAGTCTTCCACAGAGGATCTACCTGATGTGCTAGAAGTCTTCCTTTCATTCTTTTAAAATTCTGTGGCTGTCAGTAGAACTTTTAGATGGTTCATCTGTCATAGCTTATCCTTGCCATGTGACAGGTCCACCCTCATTCTGACTTATGCATGTCATATATGTTTCATTTTCCATGTAAGTCACTGTTACTAATGTACAAACCCTACTTTCACCTACCATGTGTCTTTCCATTGCTGTCTGGGTCATCTGCCATTCTAATTCTTTGGAGAATATAATACCAGCGGGATAATGCTAATGTTAAAAAAAATGGGTTTTTACAGCAGGAAGTGGCTTTGGATCATTAAAAATATTGCACAATTTCCCAAATTGGGTCCAGCCCGATCTCCTCCTACCATTAAATGTTGGCCTCAGCTCCTCTTCCATCTGCAGTGCCTACTCAATATCAATGTACTGGTGGACTGTTTCAATGGGTTGTCCATCCCACTGTATGTCATAATCTGGGCAACACATATTCCTTATCAGCTTTATTATTCCTGTATGTATGTGGATGTCATTGAGAAGACCATATGGTGTTACGGGACTTGTTCGTGGCATAATGCTACCTGTAAACAGGAGCATCTGGAGAAACTCTCCGTCCCTAGAGAATTCCTCTTCCATTTGAATTTGATTCATGACATCCTCTAAGACAGTACCTTTGGTCAGTATATATTTCCCTGTTGGATAGTGTTCTTGATACTGACAATCGGTGGATGGTTTTATAAAATTATTTCTATAGTCTTATATGTCATGGGATTTTAAAAATCATCTTAACATAGACATGGCACATTAGTTGAGGATATCCTTTTAAGAAGAGGTGTCAAATATGTGGTCCACAGGGTCTGAACCTGATTAAAATGTAATTGGGAAATATTTAACAAAATAAATAAAAATACAATAAAAATAGATAATGTTACATTTTAAACTTAAGTTAATATGCAGCCCACAAGGATCCTTACGTACAGATTAGTGGCTTCTATTTCTATTTGAGTTTAATGCCACTGATTTAAAGCTTCTTTTTACTCTGCCAAATCATTTTTTCTCTATTTAGTACCCAACAAATAATATATACAGTGGGTTCTTACATTCCTTACATCTTCCAATCAATTGTGTGAATGTGAAGATATATACTACTGAAGAAAATCATATGTAAATGCATGTTTGCATCTTACATTTTCATCAAGAATACCTTCAATACATGCATATATGATTCT